GCCAAAACGATTAAAAAAAGCTGAAAAACTCAAGTTTTTAACGTGACTTTACACAGCTGTTACCAGAGTTATCAAAACATCCCGTGTGCATGAGGGCTAATACTTGCCTGAGCCCAATCTTGATCAAGCACTGTGCACGAGAGCATTGGCTCTTCTGGGACTCTCCCTTATCATTGGCTGAGACACAGCAGTGGGAGCCACTGGCTCCCATTGCTGCCAATCACAGTTAGTGAGGAGGGAGCAGGGGGTGGGGCCAAGCCTGCTCTGTGTATCATATAGACACAAAGAGGTGGCTCGGGAGCAAGCAAGCATGCATGAGAGCCCCTAGAGCAAGCAGCTTGGAGGGGAGGAGCCAGGCATGCCGGTGGTGTACTGGGGGCTGCTGTGTGCAAAATCAGCACACAGAGCAGGTAAGTATTACATGTTTGTTATTTTAAAAAAATAAATGAAGCAGCTGAATCTTTAGTATCACTTTAATCATGATGATACCAATCTACCTGTGTTCAGCTAAGGCCCCATGTACACGGGACACTTCTGAACGATGGAAACTGACTGCTGGAAAACGTAGGTTAAAAAAAAAACGTCTGTTTAGCCGCCTTTGCATAACGTGTTTATGTGCATTTACATTTAGAAAACGTTTTTTAAAGATAAGCACAGGAGAACCTCCCAAATGCCCAGAATGCACTGAAAAGTGGTAAATTATTAACTATTTCAGACTGTTTCAGAGAAATACAGAGAGTAGAAGCAGAGACAGCAGTATGTGTTGAGATTAGCTTAGCTGTGAGTTGCTCATTAACATTTCTTTTGATTCCAAGGGTGGGAAAGGTGTCTGGTGGAGGGAGTCATTAAGGTCACCTGGCAGGGGGTCTGCATGAGGAATTTGAGGTGTGAATGGTCATTAACATATCTTTTGTTTCCAAGGGTGGGAGAGGTCTGAGGGGTGAATTGGTCATTACAATGTGTGACAAGCTTGGTAGGAACATCCTGTGTTCAGTGTTTTGTCCATCTGAGTACCTTGAAAACGCTTTGCATGCATTTTTCATGATAAAAAAAAGGCTCTGGACAGCATCGGGAACTGGAAGAGTTAAAAAAAAATTTCAAATGCTTATAAGCGCGATTTGCCACATTTAGAAGCGTTTTGAGTTTGAAATGCTGATAAAATCGACTGCTGAACGCAAGTTTTCTGCGTTAAAAAAAACTGTAAACTCAAATTTCTGTAAATAACTGTAAAGGAAGGTATGTACATGGACACATAGGACACCATTAGGGAGAGTTCAGGGGCTGCTGAAAAACACACTGAACAGCTCCTAAACGTGAGTTTATCATCTGCAGTGTACATGAGCCCTAAAAGTCACGTGTTGTGTAACTCCCCTTTCACACGGGGCGGACTCCATTCTGATCAGCAGGGAATCTGTCCTCTGATCCCCAGCTGATCAGAGCAGAGCGGACACAGACGAAGCCCACTCTGCTCTATGGGCAGCTGGGAGTAAACAGTCTATCGTTACCTGACCACCCGTTGTCCACTGTCCGTTTACATCTGACTGCCCTCTGATCCAATCCACCTACATGGAAGGGGACAGATGCCCTTCCTTTTCCAGATCAGAGGTAAACGGGTGTAAACGGACACAAGTCTGTCGGAGAGGAGAATAGACTATTCGATCAGGTCTCTCTGAAACACTGACAGGGGGACTTGATTGGACCCCTTTTGAGACCGGTGCCTAAGGGACTGGACCTGCACAGACTTTACAGCTGATCCACCTTCAAGTAAATATTCAGAGATAAGAGGTGTCAGGCCTCTTTCACACAGTCGGACAAATTAGGTACGCCTGTCCAGACCCAATCAGATCATCCATTGCCCTCTATGGAGCGGCGGTGTGTCTATTTACACCTACCTGCATCTGATTTGATCCTATCCGCTAAAAACAGACAAATGGGGATCCGTTCTCCATCCGTCTAGCGGACTGGAAGACAGTTGGATGTACATGGACAGGTTTACATCTGACCGCCCATAGAGGACAGCAGGCTGGGTTTGCTTTCGCTCTGCACAAGTGGAGTGGATAGGGACCTGTCATCCACCTGCTCAGAGAAGATCAGCAGATCCCCCTCTGATCACGTGGATCCGCCGGCGGAGTCTGCCACTGTAAAAGGGGCCTTAATTGTAAACGAAGCTTGGCATGATGCAATGTATTTATTGACAGCACAGTGGCTTGGTGATTAGCACTTCTGTCCGGCAGCACTGGGGTCAATTGTTGGGATCCCAATCACAATACCAGGGGCGGACTGACAACTCATGGGGCCCCCGGGCAATAGGGGATCATGGGGCCCCTGTGTCCTTGCCCAAACTCAAAAAAGCCTATCAAAAAGGTACCAGGGGCATCTCATGGTGCCCCCTACTGACCCCGGGCCCTTGGGCAGTGCCCGAGTTTCCAAATGGTCAGTCCGCCCCTGCACAATACCATCCGCATGGAGTTTGTCAGTTTTTTTTATAGCTTTTGGATATTTTTGTAATTTAACAAGGTTTTTCCTATTATCTATAGAATGTTGTACTACTTATTCAATATGTCAATTTATGCCCTGGAGGCTCAGATTTATGGTCCTTGTTGGTAGTCCATCATGTTTGCCTTCTTGTTTATGCTGTAGTTTGGCCATAGAGGTCCCACTTTTTAGTAACTTGAGTGAGTAGGATCCAAATCACAATACTATCCGCATAGGGTTTGTAAGTTTTTTTTTTTATTTTAGAGCTTTTGGATATTTTTGTGTGCGCGGGTACATTTGTGTTACCCAGCCTATATGGTCCCCCCTTTTTTTAACCATAGTTTTTTTTTTCTATTTATGTTCTCCCCTGTGCTTACATGCGTTTCCTCCCGCACTCCAAAGAAATGCGGGTAGGTTAACTGGCCCTAGTATGTGTATGCAGGGTGGATAAAAATCTATGATTTTAATTAAAAAAATTTAATTAAAAAAAAAAAAATTAAAATTAAAATTAAAATAAATGTGATTTAAAAATAAAAAAAAATCAGATTTAAATTTAAAAAAAAAAAAAAAAAAATTCAAATTTTTTTTTAATTTAAAATCGATTTTTTTTTAATTTTATCATAGATTTTTACTCCAAAAGCATTTTATTAAAAAATAAATTTGATTTAAATAAAAAAAAAATCCGATTTTAAATGAAAAAAAAAATTCAAATTTTTTTTTTTTTTTTTTTTTTTTAATTTAAATCTGATTTTTTTTTATTTTTAAATCACATTTATTTTAATAAAATGCTTTTGGAGTAAAAAATCTATCTAAATATAGCTTTCTATTTAAGATACAATAATAATTTAGTTTACTCAGCATGAAATGGAGCTTAGTTTATTTAAATCGGATTTTTTTTTATTTAAATCAAATTTATTTTAATAAAATGCTTTTTAAAAAAAAAGTAAAAAAAAAAAAAAAAAAAATCTATCTGAAAGATAGTTTTCTATTTAAGAAACATGAATAATTTAGTTTATTCAGCAGCATGAAATGGAGCTTAGTTATGTAACATGAGGCTGTATATTCTGCAATATTTACATTTTTGGTAAACTCATTCAATGAATCCAAGCTCTGCAAGCGGAGATAACATGCACTGCATTGATGCATTCACACAATGTCACAGTAACCATGAGAAAAAACATGAAATAAAAAAAGAATTTGAGTCGTTCCCCAGCTATGTATGATGAACCTACTAACCTAAAATCGGTTCTGATATTGCCGTTTTACTAACCTGACAGCTTATTATTCTCAAAAGGAAACCTTCATTTGGTTTGCAAATATTAAAGATTCTAACTACCAGCAAGAATGAGTCGGATTCCTTACATTTAAAGAGCACCTGTCATTTTAGATCCATCATGGCAGCGCCTGTTAGCGGACAGCCACTCCCCTGCTGCCGCCACGTCCCTCACCTTGTGTCCCTGCCGCATCACCAGCTGTCCCATTAAAGTGAATGGGACTATCGGTGAGTCAACAGCGGGTCAGAGGAGGAATGCTAAGTGAAAAGTAATCGGTGCTGCGCTAAGATTAAATATATATATAAAATTGTCAAGAAAAAATAATCCGCACAATATAAACATATAAAATCAAATCACAAAGAATAAATGTTGAATAGAATACACATAAAGACATCCAAAATAATGGATAACAGTGAAAATGCACCCAAACTGTTATCCATTATTTTGGATGTCTTCATGTGTATTCTATTAAACATTTCTTCTTTGTGATTTGATATGTTTATATTGTAAGAATTATGTTTTCTTGACAATTTTATATTTAATATTTGCGCAGCACCAATTACTTTTCACTTTGCATTGTTCCATTTGGTATATGGTAAGGTGTTAGCAGCTTTATATACAGATTAGGTACCTAGAGCGCGGGAGGACTACACAGATATATTTGGGTCAGAGGAGGAGCAGAGATGACAGTTGCTCTTTAACCACAAGCCTACCGGGCACTTATACCCCCTTCCTGCCCAGCCCAATTTTCAGCTTTCAGTGCTGTCGCACTTTGAATGACAATTGCACGGTCATGCAACACTGTACCCATATTAAATTTGTATCATTTTTTTGAGACAGAGCTTTCTTTTGCTAGTATTTAATCACCTCTGGGTTTTTTATTTTTTGCTAAACAAACCAAAAACTGAAAATTTTGGGGGGAAAAAAAAACGTTTTTTCTTAGTTTTTGTTATAAAATTTTGTAAATAAGTAATTTTTCTCCTTCACTGATGTACACTGAGGCTGCAATGATGGGCACTGATAGGCTGAACTGATAGGTGGCACTGATGAGGAGGCAGTGGTAGGTGTCACTGATGGGCATTGACAGGCATCACTGATGGGCACTGAAAGGCAGCACTAATATGGCACTGATAGGCGGCACTGACAGGCAGCAATGATAGGCGGCACTGACAGGCACTGTTAGGCGGCACTAATTGGCAGCACTGTTAGGCGGCACTATTTGGCAGCACTGTTAGACGGCACTAATTGGCAGCACTGATAGGCGGCACTAATTGGCAGCACTGATAGGCGGCACTAATTGGCAGCACTGATAGGTGGCACTGACTGGCAATGATAGGCGACACTGAAATGCAGCTCAGATGGGCACTGATATGTTGCATTGATGTGCACTAGTAGGCACTAATATGTGGCACTGATGGGCACTGGCAGGTGGCATTGATGTGGCACTGAAAAGTGGCACTGCTGGGGCTACACTGATCATCAGGGCACACTGATCATCAGTGCCCTGATGATCAGTGCACATGTCCCCTCCGAGGAATGCCAATTACCGGCTCTCCTCTCCTCTCGAGGTGTCAGCGGGACAGCTAGTGAGGAGAGAAATGCCGATAACCGGCATTTCCCTATTTACATGCGATCAGCTGTGATTGGACACAGCTGATCACATGACCGAGCTGACGTCTTAGGCTCTTTCCATTGATCGATGATCCCGTGTCGATCCGCCAATCGCCGCGTTGTGCGCTCCCGGAGCCACGCACGTGCGGTTAGAGTAGGAGGATGTCATATGAGGTCCTCCCAGAACCAGAGAACCGCCTTGCGCCCATCTTTTCCTTATATGGCAGGCGGGAGGCGGTTAAAAATGATGATTTAATCGAGCCTTTTCACTAGTGATTTAAAATCAACCCGATTTAAATCAAATCCACCCTGTGCGTATGCATGCATGTGAGATTGGGACCTTGGATTGTAAGCTCCTCGAGAACAGGGACTGATATGAACGTACAATATGGATGTAAAAGTGTTGCGGAAAATTGTCGGCGCTATATCGATACTTGTAATAATAAACATTACAAAAAATAAAAACAAATGTAAATACACAGCAAATATGTATCACCGAGGAAATGTGAGAACCTCCAGCCTGGACTGTTAATATGTCAGCAGACGCAGTTTTATTTCCAACAGTAACAATGGCAGCGAGTATAAGAAGTAGCAGTTAATTTGTCACGTATGAGATGATCTGTGCCTGTGACTTCATTCATCCACCCACTCTCCCCCATCACTGAAATGTGCTATCACCCTCCATTACCTCCAACTCAGGACTTAATTGTGCTATTAGCGTCAGGAAGACAACAGAACAAGCCCACATTTTGTGACATGTATCAAAATAAACCCCGTCTGTACAATACTACCATGCAGGGTGAGGTGTTCTAGATTCACACGTCACCATGGAGAGGTATTGGCAAGCTGAAGATTATACTACATGGAGACCATTACTATATGACATTTATTTTCCACCTTTTCTGTTGCATCTCAATGCGGTTGACCTCCTTTAGGGCTCATGTACACGGGGCGTTTGGAAAACTCTTCTGAACGATGGAAACCGACTTCTGGAAAACGTAGGTTAACCCCTCGGCGCCGGCGCCTCCCGGCCCTTTAAGGTTTCAGAAACCGGGAGGCGGGGTTTTAAGGTCATGTGACCGCTGTAATTCGAAGTCATGGCGGTCACATGATCGGGAAAGGTCCCAATCAAAAAAGGAGATCGGGCCTTTCCGTGAGTACCTGACATGTGTGCTGGGAGCACATATGTTTTCCTTAATTGCACGCAAATGTGCGGCCACTCGGCGTTAAGGCCCAGACACTGGGAGGCCGCACATTTGCATGCGGCCGGCATGAAGACATTTAAAAAACATTAGGTTAGCCGCGCTATCGATACTTCGTGACTTCGAATTACTTATAGCCGCACTATATCGATAATTCGTGACTTCGAATTACGGCGGTCACATGATCGGGAAAGATCCCGATCAAAAGAGGAGATCGGGACCTTTCCGTGAGTACCGGACATGTGTGCTGGGAGCGCGCACATTTGTTTTCCTTAATTGCACGCAAATGTGAGGCCGCTCGACGTTAAGGCCCAGACACTGGGAGGCCGCACGTTTGCATGCGGCCGGCGCGAAGAGGTTAAAAAAACATTAGGTTAGCCGCGCTTGCATACCGCGATTATCCGAGTTTCCGTTTAGGAGCGTGTTTTTAAAGATAACCTCAGGAGACCTTCCAAAATGCCCAGAATGCACTGAAAAACAGTAAAAAAAATAACTATTTCAGACATTTTGAGAGAAATAGAGAGCAGAAGCAGAGAGAGCAGTATGTGTGGAGATGACCTGTCTTTTCTGGTTGTATTCACTATGGATCCCATCATGAGCAGAATGCGGCACGTTCTACCATTTTTTTCCTTCACGCAAAACCTGGAACTGACTGCGCTGGTGTACCGGGTCCATTTGAATACATGGAAAATGCTTTGCATGCATTTCTGATGATGAAAAAAAGGCTCCGGACAGCATCTGGATATGGAACAGTTAAAAAAACGCTTCTAAATGCAAACGCTTATAAACGCGGTTAACCGTGTTTACAAGCCTTTGAAACGTTGGTAAAATCTACTCCTGAATGCAAGTTTGGTGCGTTCAAAAAAAACGACTGTAAACTGAACTGCCTGTAAAGTTGGATGTGTACATGGACACATAGGAAACATTAGGGAGAGTTCAGGGGCTGCTGAAAAAAAAAAAACGCAGAAAAGCTCCTGAATTTCAGTTTATCAGCTGCAGTGTACATGGGCCCTTAGCCACTTGCAGCCGCTTCATGTCATCAAGCACCCAGCAATGGCCGCATGGTATTTTGAAGGGTGCGATTCCGGTTAGTGACAACAGTGGACCAACGTGTGTTCAAACACTCATTTGTCTTCACAGGAAGCCCATGTGATGTGATGACAACGTAAAAAACACAACGGAGAGACAGGAACACCCTTAGCCTGGGTCCACACATGCAAATCGCATGTGATTCGCACAGGAACCGCACCGCATTCCTGTACAAAGCACATGCGATTCGTGTGCGGTGCGATCGGAGCCCTACATTTTGTATGGCTTTATTCACACCGCGAACCAAAAACATTCAGGACCCTTTTGTGGGTCCGCATTAGAATCAGATCACATGGGTAGTCACACCTATGTGATCCGATTCTGCGCATCGCGTTTTGCATCGCGGGGTGTTAACTTAACATACACACCCGCAGCGTTTCGCATGAACGGGGTGCAATTCTGATTCGGTGCGGAACTGCACTGAAAATGCTGCAAATTCCGCACCGCATCACTGTGAACCCGGGCTTAAACAAGAAGTGTCTGAACAAGGACCTTCATTTATGGCACTACTGCAATGTGGTATTTAACCCCTTCACACCTAAGGGGAAAACAAATCTAAATGCCCAAGCACAATTTTGCAACGTTGACATGTGTTCGTAAAACCGTACATATCACCACAACTACTTTGTACATCCAGGTGGATTATACCGCGGTTTTTTTTCAGGACAAATTGGGCTTTCATTTGGTGGTAAATGGTAATGGATATCTCCTGATTTTTTTTTTATTATAAAAGGAAAATTGGCTCAAAATAGTAGAAAAAAATTTTTTTTTTTTTATTTAGCTGTGTGTTTCTTGTTACTACCATAACCTACCACCAAAGAACAACCCAAAATAAATTCTCCAGCTCTTGACAATCGCAGCGATACCATATATGTGTATGTTATTCGTTGTCTGTACCCGTAGTACAGCCCAGAAACAATAGTGCGCATTTTGTTTTTATTTTTCTTACCTAAAACACGCTGACACCAATTTTTTTTTTTTTTTTTTTTTAAATCATGACCTTTGACCCTGACCCAAACAAACACTTACCCTGGCACTTAACTAGATCAAACCTTGATCTAGGTATTTTTTCTTTATTTTTTATTTGATTTTTTAATATTTATCCTTTTTTTTCCCTCTATACCAGGAGTTAGAGATACATTGTATCTCTCTCCTCCATTCATAGAGAGAAAAAAAAAAATAGGGGGCTGGCCTGTACAGTGACTGATCACTGTGATAGCCAATCAGAGGCTATCACAGCGATCATGTGGTCTTGAATTGGGAGTCCCGGGTCCCGATCATTAGAATGGGACCCGGGGCTCTCAGTGTGGTTTTTAGCTGTATAAATGCTCTAACACTGAAAAACGCGGTAAAACGCAGTAAAATGCACATTTTTGGACATTGACTACATTTTTTTAGGTAAACAAAAATGTGAAAAAACACTAAAAACTGCAAAACGCAGAAAAACTCAGGAAAACGCCTTTGATCGCGGCAAAACACGTTTTTAACGCGACTTTACACACCTAACGTTACTAGCGTTCTCAATACGTCCCGTGTGCATGAGGACTTAGACTGCAGATGGCCATATAAAAGGGGCCCCTGCTGTGTACACATCCTGCAGATGGCCATATAAAAGGGACCCCTGCTGTGTACACAGCCTGCAGATGGCCATATAAAAGGGACCCCTGCTGTGTACACATCCTGCAGATGGCCATATAAAAGGGGCTCCTGCTGTGTACACAGCCTGCAGATGGCTATATAAAAGGGGCCCCTGCTGTGTACACAGCCTGCAGATGACCATATAAAAAGGGGCCCCTGCTGTGTACACAGCCTGCAGATGGACATATAAAAGGGGCCCCTGCTGTGTACACAGCCTGCAGATGACCATATAAAAAGGGGCCCCTGCTGTGTACACAGCCTGCAGATGGCCATATAAAAAGGGGCCCCTGCTGTGTACACAGCCTGCAGATGGCCATATAAAAAGGGGCCCCTGCTGTGTACACAGCCTGCAGATGGCCATATAAAAAGGGGCCCCTGCTGTGTACACAGCCTGCAGATGGCCATATAAAAAGGGCCCCTGCTGTGTACACAGCCTGCAGATGGCCATATAAAAGAGGCCCCTGCTGTGTACATAGCCTGCAGATGGCCATATAAAAGGGGCCCCTGCTGTGTACACAGCCTGCAGATGACCATATAAAAGGGGCTCCTGCAGTGTGCACAGCCTGCAGATGGCCATATAAAAGGGGCCCCTGCTGTGTACACAGCCTGCAGATGGCCATATAAAAGGGGCCCCTGCTGTGTACACAGCCTGCAGATGGCCATATAAAAGGGGCCCCTGCTGTGTACACATCCTGCAGATGGCCATATAAAAGGGGCCCCTGCTGTGTACACAGCCTGCATTTCTTTTCAAGCCGTCCTATTATATACTGTCTATGGGGTGGTTTAAACAAACAATATCAACTAGAATTCCTATATACTGGAAAGCCAATAAATCAATAAAAAAATCACAATAATTGCATCTAAAATAAAACTAGAACTGGATCCCCAATAATTTGTCCAACCAGCTGCCCGGATTGGCTGGTAATTGAGTCAAGGCAGATCCCTTAAAATTGGCTGACATCATTAACAGAGATGCCTAGAAAAGGACAGGCAGAGGCTGATGGTGAGATTGCCCATACATCTTCCAATTACCCGCTGACAGGGAAAAATGTATGAAGCTGCAGCACAGCTGTGGCCTGGAACCTTAACCCTTTCTGATCCACCAGGGAAGAAAGTTCCAACAGGACAATCTAGGGACCCCAATACACACCTCTATGA